TGGTCTGGGTACAGCAGGCCAAGACAGAAGATCATCAGGGTCCACACACACAGAAGAAGATAAGTACAGGGCAAAAGTAGGGCCCTCTTCCATCCTAGAGAGGGCTAAGAGCGTTATTATAATGCTTCTGCGCCCCGGTTCAGATGGCTTTGTGTCAGGGCCAGCGTCTGCACCACAGCCTGAACTCTTCCCAGGGTGGGCGTCCCAGCACCAGGGGAGTAGCGGGACAAAGCAGGGCTCCCATGTTGGCTCTCAGTTACTCTTGTGTTACTTGGCCTCAGGAAAGCTCCTCACCTTGCCGCCCCCCACTGTACAGTGGGCAGACGCCGATGCTTCCCTGGGCCCTGTGAGGTGAGGTGTGTGAGACGCCAGCATGGTGCCAGCTCACCACAGTTGGCCAGGGTTTGGGGACTGGGGGAACAAGCCCTGGCCTGCTCGGTCCCTCACCCCTCACCTCCGTGGTACTCCTGCTCCAGGTGCCGCCATGCCGCCATTGCCAAGTACTTCGGGGATGTGCCACCCGCCTGCATCAAAGGCTGCGACCACTGCCAGAACCCTGCAGCCGTGCGGAAGCGCTTGGAGGCCTTGGAGCACAGCAGCAGCAGCAGCTGGAACAAGACCTGCATTGAGCCCTTCCAGAAGAATGGCTTTGACCCCGAGCTGTATGAAGGAGGCCGCCGGGGTTACGGGGGCTTCAGCAGGTAAGGGGTCCCAGGAAGTAGCCTGTCATTCCCCCCAAAGCTAGGGCCAGGCCAGGGGCAGCCCAGTGCTACAGGTTTCTCTCTTCCTGCCACCCGGATATATTGGAGGTTGGTGTTGTCCCAAGCTGCCAGAATGTCCTGACCAGTGGTGTGAGTAAGGAGGGCAAAGCCGCAGCCTGAGCCTGCTCCCCCCTGCCCTACCCCAGGTATGATGAAGGCTCTGGAGGCAGCGGTGATGAGATCAAAGATGAGGCCCACAAACGAGAGTGGAATCTCTTCTATCAGAAGCAGATGAGCCTGAGAAAGGTGAAGGCGGGTGGGACACAGAGACCATGCAGAAGCCCGCTCCTCCCTGCGGCTACCTCAGCCTGGGTGGGAGCTGCCCTTCAGGCCCAGATGCCTCATGGTCCCCTCGTATCATCTTCCAGGGCAAAGACCCCAAGACAGAAGAATTCATACCCCCAGGTTGGTATTGAAAAGTCCCAGGAGATCATGGCTGTGCCTGGGGTGTGGATGGTGGGGGCTCCATTGGGGGCTGGGTGGCTACAGAGTAGAAGGTCAGGTGGAAGGACCTGGTCCCTTCCCTCCAGATGAGAACTGTCCCCTGAAGGACGCTTCTAGCAGCAAGATCCCCAGGCTCACCGTGAAGGTAAGAGCAGGGAAGCACCTCACCTGCCCTGGATCCCAACCCACCCCGAGCCTGGGGAACCCACTACCTTCTTTGCACAGGCTCGAGAACACTGCCTGCGGCTTCTTGAGGAGGCTCTGAGTAGTAACTGCCAGGCTGCAGGCTCCGCTGATAGGTGAGTGAGTGTCTGAGATCTCCGTGGTTGGTGAAGACTTGTTCCTTCCAAGGCTGTTCCTCGCCAGGTAATGACCCTAGTCTAGGGCTGCCAAGGGACAGGTGGGACCACACTTAGATTCTGATGAAGAACAGCCATAGGTGCCCAGGGAATCCTAGCTCCAGTCCCTTTGCCCATCCCTGCCAGTCCCCAAGCCTTCCCACCGTCCCTGGGGAGAATGCACCAGTATTTTAGGGAGAGGCTCAGCCTGCTTATTCCTGCCCACAGAGCAGACCTCCAGGCCAGGGCTGTGGAACTGGAGCATGAGACATTCCAAAATGCCAAGATGGCCAATCTATACAAGGCCAGCGTGCTGAAGAAGGTGGGCCTGGAACTGGGGGAAAGGTGGGCTGGACACTCCCCAGGGTAAGACAGGGAGGCCCATTCATACTCCAGGGACATCTAGCCCTCTGGCTATCAATGAGAGTAGCGCCTGTCCTTCACCGGGGAGAGCTGTTTCCAGCCAACCCATCAGGATTGAAACTTGCCTAGTGTGCCTTAGAGGAGGAGGAACTGGGTTCGGGCTCAGGAGCTCACAGATGCTATGGCCTCCCTGCCTGACCTTACCCAGGTGGCTGAGATCCACAAAGCCTCCAAGGATGGGCAGCTCTATGATGTGGGAGGAAGGACCAAGAGCCACGGGGTCCAGCCCGAGCCCCCCGAGCCCAATGAGTACGACATCCCTCCCACTTCCCACGTGTACTCGGTGAGTTGCATTCTGGTGTTCTGGAAAGGCTCGGGTAAGGCATGACCTCTCCCCCTCACTCCCTGCAGCACCCCTGCTCTGCCAATTACGCCTTTGTCAGCCATGACTCTTCGGTCCATTGCTTCCTCCTGCACTCGGACATCATCCCAACACAGCCATCGCTGAGCCCGCGGTGAAGGCTCTTGAGGGTGCCTGGGACTCTGAACTGTTGTTTGTTTTCTTCCTCACAGCTCAAAACGAAGCGGGTGGGAGCTGGCTCCTGCACCTTCCAGACAGCCACTGAGCTATTGGGGAAATTTCAGACGCAGGAACAAGCCTCCCAGCCTGTGCAGGGAAGCAAACAGGAGCCCCTCCACCTCCAGGAAGACAGGAGCGAGCCCCTTCCTGGGCACAGTGATGCTGCTGGGGCTAGTGCTTGTGGGGGACCTTCCCCTGAGAAGAAGGCAAAAGGCTCCTCCAGGGGAGGCTCCACTGCCAAGGCCCGGGCCAGCAGGAAACAGCAGCTCCTAGCTGCAGCAGCCCACAAGGATTCCCAGAGCATTGCCCGCTTCCTCTGCCAGAGGGCTGAGAGCGCCCCTCTCCTGGCTTCAGCCCCAGCGGCCGAAGGTACCAACTCCTCCTGTGAAGGCGCTTCTCGACCCCTGAGAGCCCCAGAGCAGCATACAGAGGAGGAAGATGGAGCCCCAAGATGTTTGATTGCCTCTCTTCAGACTGAGGCATGTCCCCAGGACGGGCCAAGGTAAGGACAAAGGTAGTTAATGAATCTTCTGAATTTTTGTTTTGTTTTGTCAGTCTTGGGGCTTGAACTCAGGGTCTATGCACTGTCCCTGAGCTGCTTTTGCTCAAGGCTTATACTCTGCCACTTGAGCCATTTCCGGCCTTTTCTGTCTATGTGATACTAACCCAGGGCTTCATACATGCTAGGCAAGCACTTTACCACCAACCCGCATTGCTTACTTGCCCTCAATGGCTTGAGCCTCTGCTAGGCTGCCCGGGGTAAGGAAGCAGTTGAACTTGGAGTTCTGATTCTGCTCTTCCCTCTGGCCAGTGCTTGCCTACTCAGAGACCAGGGGCTCTCTGAAGGCCAGCCCAGCCTCTTAAAGGAGACCCCGACCAGCAAGCGGACCAGACACCAGGAGGTACCATAGGGAGGAGGCCATGGGGGAGAGGGAGGCCAAGGCCAAGGCCAAGGCCAGAGCTGCTGTGCCTGGCAGGGTCTCCTGGCAGGTGGGGCAGGCTGGAGGGAGCCACCTGGTGCTGAGGCATGGGCTTGCAGATAGAGGGGCGGCCAGAGCCAGAGAGCGGGAGCCTAGAGTGACTATGACCCTCTCCAGGAGAACCCAGAAAGCCGGGCTCAGAAGAGGCCCCGTCCCTCAGCCAAGCCCCCCATCACCGATGAGGTCAAGGATAGCACCTCAGCCGGTGATCAGGGTGCCTTGAACACTGTGGCCCAAGAGCCCTGCCCGCTCCCAGCTCCCGGCATCTCTCTGAAGGAGGCTGCAGATGTTGTGGTCAGGTGTCTGACCCCGCTCTACAAGGAGGGCAAGTTTGCATCTAAGGTAGGGTGAGTGGGCCTGCCTTCCCCAGACCTGGGGTTCTTGGGTGCAGTGGGGGTCGGGGAGTGAATGAAGTCGGGCAGAACAGGCCAGGCCCAAGGCCTGGCCGCAGCTCGACAGCCTCCGCCTCCTCTGCCTTATAGGACTTGTTTAAAGGCTTAGCTCGCCACCTCTCACACCTGCTGACTCAGATGGCCTCTTCTAGAAGGAGCGGTGAGCCCCAGTCATGGTGGGAGGGAGGAGTGGGGGAGCAGGTCTTCTGGGAAAGCTGCCTTCACCTCCTCTCCTTCTCTCCCTGGACCTGCAGTGAAGGAAGGGGCCCAGAGCCTCATCAAGCAGTTCTTCCATGGCCGCTCACGGTGTGAGAGTGAAGCCGACTGGCACAGCCTGTGTGGCCTACAGTGATGACCTGCCTCCTCCCGACGGCCCTGGCCAGCGTGGCCACCCAAAGTGGGAAGCCAGGCGGACCGGCAGGGCAGCGGCCACCATCCTCCTCAGGGTCTTAACCTCTTCTGATTGTGTTCCAGACACCTCCCAGATCAAGTAAGAGGCCAGAAGTCAGCCTCCAATGTCTCAGCCCTCATTGCCGGTGTTCTGGGCCAGATCCCCAGGTTAGAAGGTAGATGTGTGGTTGCGGCCAGTGGAAGACAGGAGTAGCCACTTTTTTTTTTTTTTTTTTGTGCTTGGCCTGGGGCTTGAACTCAGGGCCTGGGCTCTGTCCCTTAGCTTTTTGCCCTAGGCTAACACTCTACCACTTGAGCCATAGCTCCACTTCCAGTTTTTGGGTACTTTGTTGGAGATGAGTCTAATGGACTTTCCTGCCTAGGCAATCCTCAGATCTCAGCCTCCTGAGATTACAGCCTCCTGATTACAGGCATAAGCCACTGGCACCTGGCTTCATATGTTTCTTAATAGTTTATCATCCAGGAAAAAAATAGTTCATCATCCACTGTAGGCCACACAATACCTATGCAAGGTATTGGGGCCAACTCAGGTTCCCTGGTCCCCTCCAGCCCCCCACTTCCCTTGAGATGCCAGCTTCTAGCCTTTGCTGGGCGCAAAGTTTGTGGGCTGGGGTGGCATCTAGCGGTGGCAGCTAGGCCCTGCTCAGTTTCTGGATAGGACAGCCAGGCCTAATAGATGTTTACAAGAATAAAGTCCTGTTTGCCCTGACGCATGCCCACATGCACACACAGCCCTTTTAGGAGTTTTATTTCCTCAGCAGCAGCTGCTTCTAGGCCTGGGTTCATGTTGACCTTGATCCTGGTCATGAACCGGAACCCGGGTGGTCAGCTCCCTTCGGCTGGCAGCATCTGATGCCTAAGCCAAGTTCTTGCAGCCCCGCTCTGGGCTCAGTCTTCCCCAGGTAAGTCACGGTGGCACCCCCTGCCTTGTGGCCTCCACCTGGGTTAGGCAGCAGCAGGTTCCAGGGCGGAAGTGAAGACAAAACCAGGGCAGAAGGTAGACTGGGCCCCTCGCCTCCACCCCCTCACTGAGAGGAAGACCCACTGCCCTCCATCAGGAAGACGATGGTGTGCTGCAGCTCCTGGGCCTGCCGGGAAAGAGCGAGTCAGCACAGGCTCCCCAGTGACCTCCTCCTCCATCCCTGCCCACAGCTCCCAGCTGGTTAGGCTGGGGCACCCTGGCCTCTCACCTGCGGCAGCTCCACCCACATGGTCTGGGGGCTGTCGGCGGAGCCCCAGTTGAGCTCCAGCCCAGGCGGCCCGTTCTCCTCCAGCGGGCTCAGCAGGTGGAGCCGCTGCAGGTCCTTCAGGTCAATGGAGCAGCACAGTTTCTGGGGAAGCAGCAACAGCAGAGCTTGGCTCTGGGGTTGGGGGTGGGGGGCGGCGGCCTGAGGGGTCTCGGGCCTGCACTGGGGCAGAAGCTCTGCCTACCTGGGAGCTGGGGTCCATGAGGACCAGGTGTCTGCGGTTGAGCCCCAGGAGGACAGGCCCAGGAAAGACCATCTTGCTCACTCGAAGCACCACATACACAGTGTAGCCAAAGAGGGGCAGCTGCCTTGCGGCCTCTGGGGGGGCAGAAGAGGACACGGGCATGGTTTCTGCCAGGAGTTGGGACTGCCCTCCTTTTGCTCCCAGGACAGATGAAGGGCAGACAGCTGTAGAAGCTTCCTTGCCCCTCCAGCTCTACCCCAGCACCCCTTGTCCCAGACGCACGGATGAAGCTGATCTGTGCTTCCTGGGGGTCGTAATCTTTCAGCTGCCTCAGCTCCTGGCTCAGCAAACTCCTTATGGCAGCCATGTTAACCTGCCACTGCAGCGGCTTGGGTATGTAGGCCAGCAGGTCTTGCCTAAGATACACAGCCTAGCTCAGGCCCCGGAAAGCCAGCCCCTTGGTGCAGAGCTGGGCTGTGGGCTAAGAAACAATGGAGAGGACTAGGACCCGAACGCGAATGAGGCGAGGGCACTGCTGCAGGCCAGTGCAGGCAGGGTAGGACAGGCTCTGCAGCGGAGCCTGGCCTTGCAGGGGAGGGAGGGGGGATGTGGTAGGCCAGAGGAGCCACGGGGCTTGGCCGGTGCCCAGGTGGGAAGACAGCCTCACTGGAGGCGGCGCTCACGCACTCGGAGGGCGTGTCCTTGCTGGCCCTGCTGAGGTGCTGGAGGGCAGCCATCTGAGCCAGCTGAGCCTCGGCCTGGGCGCGGGCCATCAGCTTCCCCTGGAGGTAGTCCCGCAGCACCTGGGGCAGGGGGCCAGGGGGAGGGTGTAAGGGGTACCTGTACCCCAGCCTCTCCAGCTACTTGAAGCTAATTAGGGCTCTAGGTTCCCGCCACCCTTTCTCCCAGTGGCCACACAGCCACATCCATGTGGGGAGGGGGCCTGGAGGCCCACAAGCAGGAACCCAGTGGTCATGGGCAGAGGCTGACCTGGCCATAGTGGGTGTCGATGTAGGTGGGGTGGTCAAAGTGCAGCGGGCTCTCCCAGCCGAGCCGCCGGCTGTGCAGGCTCAGGTCCGGCGCCACCAGCACACTGTTGAGATACTCGGGGGGCCGCAGGGGCCGGACCAGGTCCCCTGTGTGAAGAGCTCAGGCCAGTGCTGCCCACAGCCCACCCCGCTGCCTCAGCCCAGAGCTGCCTTCCTAGGGACAACACCCATCCTGACTGCCTCTTCTCCCCCTGCCCCGTCCAGCCTCACCTTCCCCTTTGATGAGGAAGAGGGCAAATTCCTGCACTTCCTGGGGGTCCGTGATGCCCATCTGGCCACATAGCTCCTCCAGTACTTCTCCTGCCACCTGGACGCATGGACCGGGCCATGACCATGGGGGAAAGACGTTGGGGATCCAGGCTGAGGCCCATAGCCTCTCCCCTTAGTGCTCCCTGCCTCCCACTTGCGCACCGTGAAGGTGTGGAGGTTTGTCTTGTAGTCCAAGCCGCCAGGCAGGTGAATTAGAAGCATCCGGACCGCTTGCCCTTTCTGTCAGGCAGAGTGTAAGGTCGGTCGCCAGCAGTTGGCTATCCCAGCTCGCTCTGTCCCGTGAGTGCTGCCCCTCCATCCCAGGGGACTCCCGGAAGCCCTGTCTGCCCACCCCTAGTACCAGGAAAGCCTTCATTTCACCCGGTAGGGGCAGCTGCTGCCGGCCCCCGTATTTGACTGTGCGTTGGAGGTGCTCCTGGCTGCTGCGGGCCAGCTCTGCAGACAAGCCAGAGGGCCGGGGTCACACGTGTCCCCGCCCGCCTCCCAGCCCCGCGGCCCGGGGTCCGGGCCTCCTCCCTCCCCCAGCACCTTGGTTGGGGCCTGAGTCCTGTAGGAACTTGGTCACATAGGGCATCAGTGTGGTGGACGGGAGGAAGAAGCCTGCGAGGAGGCTGAGGAAGCTCCAGCCCCGGACACAGCGCTCCCTGCGGAACAGAGAGCCCTGGCCTCAGCCTGGCCCAACGGCGCCATGCTACCCCAGCCCCCTGCCCACCATTTCCACTCACGGCTGGGGGTGTCCTGTGACCTGTTTGATGACCTGGCAGTACATCTCATCCCTGAGCTGCTCCTCCCGGCACAGCTGCGGGGAGGAAGGCGGGCAGGCAGCAGAGGGGCACGCTAAAGTCAGCATGCCCATTCCAGCCGTGTCTGGTGCCTCACACTTGTCATCCTAGCTACTCAGGAGGTTGAGATGTGAGGCACACAGGTAAAAGCCAACCTGGACAGGAAAGTCCATGAGACTTAACCCCAGTTAACTACCATAAAGCAAGAAGTAGAGCTGTGACTCAGAAGGTTGCGTGGAAAAGCTCAGAGACTCCTAAACCCTGAGTTCAAGGCCCCAGTACCAGTTCACGCACACAAGAGACATCCCATACACTTTCCTTCTGTGGCAGGGTGGAACATGGCCTCACACTAGCGGTGCAAGCCCATTACTTGTGAGCCCCGCTCCAGCCCCGCTCACTCTTCGTATCACGTCCGTCTCTTCAAAGCCTCGCAGCCTTAACTGCCCCCTTGGCCTCTGGGCTCTGCGGAGCCCTGGGCCCATCTAGACTTTTCCACCCGACAGCTCCAGTGTGCGTCTCCAGCCTGATTCTCCTGGAAGCCCACAGCCCTCCACTCAGAAGTCTGCCGCCTCGATTTCACATGTCCCAGAGAAATCCTCTGCCCTGGCTCGGGGCCACCGTGCGCGCTGGCTGGCTCAGAACCTTTGCCCATCTCCCCACTGCTGTTGCCTCTGAACTGCCCCCAGCCCCTCCCCTGGGGTCACTGCCATAACTCCCCCCCTGCCCGAAGCCCCCCCAAACCTCAACAGCCACAATGAAATGTCAGCCAAGTCTGATTCCCATCAGAAAACCACCAGTGTGTGGTAAAGTCCTGTTGTAATTACAGGCCCCAAGGCCTGCTGTGGCCCAGGCCTACTGCCCCCTTGCCTTCCGCCGCCTCCACTCCTGTTCACTGGCTCCAAACTGGCCTGGCTGGGGCTGAGCCTCCTCGGCGGCTGCCTGGGCGCCCTGTTCCTTTGCATACAGCCCAATTCTTCAGATCTGTCACAAAGCCACCTCCATGGTAGCCCCTTTCTCCACCCGAGATCTCTTCACTCTAGACACACAATGTCATTGTTGCCCGCCTGCCTCCTTCTGTGTCTTTGGGTTCACAGCTCTGTCCCCAGCATACAGTAGGCACTCAATCCTTGCTTTTGAATGACTGCAAGGAATGGTGACCAAAGAAAGGGGGAGTCCGTGCTCCAGATCCAGGCAGGACAGGAAAAGCTACTCAGGGCCCAAAGCTTCCTGTGCAAGCCTCCAGCTCACAGCTCTTGCTCACCTTCAGCAGCTCATAGAGCAGCTCCGGCTCCTTCTTGCCCCGAGGCTTAGACTGGTCCCCCATATACTGCATCAAAACTGCAGGCAGGATATGGAGCATAGTGAGCTAGGATGGGGCCTGACCCGGCCACCTGTGCTCCGAGGCTTTCCTCGGCAAACACACCCGGGCAAGGCACACAGCCCTCTCCAGCTTTACCAGGGATATAAGCTTCAAGAAATTCCCAAGATTGCCCAAGGCCAGACTCGGAGCATAGCGGCATAGCGTCAGCTGGATTCACCCACTGCCTTCCAATCCCAGACGCCATACAATCCACACAGAGGGTGGAAAGACAAATAGGAGAGGACCGCAGGGTCCAGGGTCTACCCTGAGTTGGCAGACAGGAGTGGAGTCGGGTAGAACGCAAGGAGAGAGAGCCAGGTGCCCAGCAACTCGCAGACACAAGAGCCCGGGGCTGCCCGCAGCCACTTACCCTGGAAGCCTGCCACAGCCTTGCTGTTTGTGTCCTTGTCGCTGGTATTAATGAGCGATTCCTGGATGGGAGTCTGTGGCCAGAAGGGCTGGGCTGTGGGTCTGGGGCTACGGGGGGTCAAAGGGCTGATCCATGGGCTAGCTCCTCCCACCTGGCCCCTCACCTTGCTGTACTGCACCTGACTGGCTGTCGTGTCCCCCTCGGAACCTCCGCCCGTCTGACCCGGCCTGGAGGGGGGGAACACAGGGGAAGACATCCTTGCTTGCTCCGCCCTCCTGCCTTTATTCCAGGCTGTGGAGATGGTGGTGAGCGCAGTGGCCTGCTGGCTGGGGGCCGGCAGAGGGGGGGAGGGGGAAGGGGGGAGGGAGGGGTTCATACTGGGGAGGCTGAGGGCCCGCGGGCCCAGGGCACTCACGTGGTGTGAGGCTTCCGGAAGTAGCGCAGGGCAAATTCCTGCATGGTATAGTTGTGGGGTTCAGAGGACAGTGGGGTGTACTCTGAGGAAGGCAGACTGGTGGCATCCGAGTCGTCACTGTAGGCTTGGCTCCACGGACGGGCAGGATGCTGGGAGCACAGAAAATCCGATGCTACCCAGCACCCACCGGCTTGTCCCAGAGCTGTCACCTCTCCTCCCAGCCCTACCCCTTTGCAACCTGACAGCAGTTAATACCCGAAACCAGGAAAGTCAAGATTGTTTATTTGAGCCTTGGACTGAGGGTCACATGGGAAGCTGAGGGGCGTAGGGCCCATCCCCTGCCCGCAGGGGGCTTACAGGTTGCTGAGGAGACAAGGCAAGACATCAGGAGAGTCTCCAGAGAATCGCAGCACACGAAGAACTGGCCATGAGGCCACAGGAGGCAGATGGACCTTGGGGGAACTTCCTGTGCCGCTAGTCAGTCCCCCCCTTTACCTCTCCTGCCTTCCTCACTTCCGAGGCCCTGTCCCACAGAGCTGGCTCCCTGGGCTGGGCCTGACTCTTGCGCTGCCAGCTGGGCTTCTGCTCCGACGAGAAGGAGACGTCGGGCGCCGCGGCCGGCTGCACCATGTCAGCAGGGAACAATCCAGATCGACCTCCAACAGAACCAAACTGCCAGCCTAGAATGCATCCCCGCATGCAGCTCAGCTGCCTGAGCCCTCTGTCGTTCGGCAGCCTCTGCCAGCAGGTTGCCCTCTCTGCACCAGACCCTGCCAGTCTGGGGATGGGGGGGAGAGGGGGAGTTACCTGGTTCCAGAGTGGTCCCTGGCAACAGCTTGATGAGATCCCCACGGTGGAAGCTGAGGAGGCTGTGGTCATCCGTGATGTAGCTGCGCAAAGCGATGACGTAGCCAGACCCCTACGGGCGGGTGGGCAAAGGGGCTAGACATCTCTATCCACCCGACACCCAGAATTCCAGTGACCCAGCCTGAACTCCCACCCCACCCTGGGGGGGGGACAGGGTGAAAGGCAGGTGGGGGTGCTCCCTGGCCCATGCTGACCTTCCTGAGCTCGTCCAGGTACTGCTCCACCATAGCCTTGATGGCCCTTGCCTGGGGCGTGTGCAGCACCAGCTGCTCACCCTTCAGAGTCAGCTCCAGGGCGGAGCTGTCCCGGCACTCCACACCCAGCACCTGGGCAAAGCTGCCAGCAGATTGAGAACTTGAGCTGGGGAGTCTCTGGTCCGCCACACCCCCAGCTCAGGCTCTGGACCGGCTGACCTGTAGGAGCACAGTGTCTTCAGCTGGTCTAGATGGAAGCTGGGGACTTGGACCACCTTGAGGAGTCGCAGCCCTCGGTGAGACACAGCCAGCCGCTGGACATCGCTGCCACTCTCTCCCTGCCGAGGGGGGAGGGGGGCGTCACAGGCAGGCTCCAGGGCCCTGGCGCGGCCCTGGTGCCCGGGAGCTGCGGCACAGGGCCAGAGGCTCATGTTGTCTTAATGTCACCCCCCGAGCGACACTGACCGAGACCGGGAAGATGCGGGAGAAGTAATTGGCCCAGTTGTCGCGGGCAGCCACCACGATGCGCTTCTTGACGCTGTCTTCAGCAGTGGCCAGGGAGTCCAGGCCCACCTCCAAGTCTCCTGGGACAGGAGGGCCCATCTTTAGCACCTCTTCTTGCACAGCGCGCTCAGCCCACGTTCTCCCTTGTGGCCAGGCCCAGCCCCCAGCCCTCCAGCTCCCAAGCCCCTACCCAGCAGGTCTTTCATTCTGTGCCGCTCATCTGGAGAGATGCGGATGCAGGACTCAGCAAAGGTGTCTCGCAGGATCTGGAGGCAGAGCCCAGTGGTCACCACTAGGTCCCCTCCGGACCAGAGGCAACCCCAGAGCAGCATGGATGCGCATGGAGGACCCAGTAGAGGGCGCTGTGGGGCTCACTGGGCCCTGCTGGAGGCAGGATTGGAAGAGAGGACAGAGGGCTTCCAAGCCCAGGGCCATGTCCACACCACAAGGGCTCTTGTTCCCACTCCTTCGGTGCCTGTACCCCTGCCCTTGGCCTCTCTGCCCCAGCCCCTGCCAGCTGCTGTAAACGAGCTCAGATTGACTACGCACATTCTACTTGCTATGAACATGGCAGACACAAAGTAGGCACTATGCAAGTGTTTGTTAAAAGCTAAAATTACTGTCAGGTGCCGGTAAATTCCAGCTATTCAAGAGCCTGAGATCTGAAGCCAGCCTGGGCAGAAAAGTCCCTGTGGGACTCATCTCCAATTAAGCACTCAAAAAACAGAAGTGGCTGGCCCCAGTGGCTCACGCCTGTCATCCTAGCTACTCGGGAGCCTGAGATCTGAGGATCGCAGTTCAAAACCGGCCTGGACAGGAATGTCTGTGAGACTCTCATCTCCAATTAACCCCCAGAAAACTGGAAGTGGTGCTGTGTCTCAAATGTTAGGGCGCTCACCTTGAGCTGGAGCTCAGGGACAGCGCCCAGGCCCAGAGTTCAAGCCCCACGACTGACCCAAAAAAAAAAAAAAAAAAAAGTAGTGCTGTGGCTCAGTGGCAGAGTACTAGCCTTGAACATCAGGATGCTCAGGGACAGCACTCAGGCTCTCAGTTCAAGCCCCACAACTGACCAAAACAAAACTGGTGGTGGATCCTAGCTACTCAAGAAGCTGAGATACAGGGACAAGGGTTGGGTTAAAACAGCTTGAGACCCCTTCTCAGCCAATAGGTAGACTAGTGGGACACACATCATCCCAGCTGCCTGGGAGGCCGAGATTGGTGCTTCCAGGTCAGATGCTAGCCCAGACCTCCTCCGTACCCTCCCCAACCAAAAAAAAAGTAATGTGAAACCCTATCTTAGTGGAAGAAGCTGGGCAAAGTAGTGTATGTCTTATCATCTCAGCTATGGTGGGAAGTGTAAAGTAGGAGTATCACAGTCCAGGCCTGTATCAGGAAAACAAGCAAGAGCCTATCTCAAGATAAGCAGTTCAAGACAGGGCTAGAGACATGGCTTAGGCAGTAAAGTTTGAGGTCCTCAGTTTAAACTCCAGCACCAGCTGGGCACTGGTGGATCAAGCCTGTATACTAACTACTCAGGAGGCTGAGATCTGAGGATCACAGTTTGAAGCCAGAATGGACAAGAACATCTCTGAGCCTCTTATCTCCAATTAGCTGCCAAAAAGCCAGAAGTGGAGCTGTGAATCAAGTGGTAGAAGGCCTGCCTTCAGGGAAAACATTAAGGGACTGTGCCCAGCTCTGAATTTTGAGCCCCAGTACTGGCACAAAAAAAGTAATAAATTTCATAAGCGGAAACTCCAAGACGTTTATCTATTTCTAAATTATCCAAGTAGAGTGGGGTGCCAGTGGCTCATGTCTGTGATCCTAGCTACTCAGGAAGCTGAGATCTGAGGACTGAGGTTCAAAGCCAGCCAGGGCAGGAAAGTCCACGAGACTCTTATCTCCAATTAGCCACCAGAAAACTGGAAGTGGCACTGTGGCTCAAGGGGTAGAGTGCTTAGGGACAACGCCCAGGCCCAGAGTTCAAATCCCATGACTCACAAAAAAAAAAAAAATCATGGTTCCTGCTTCTTAGCAGTGCTGCACACCACCCTAAGTGCTGGCTGCTGCTACAGCCCTCAGCCGAGCATCAGCCTGGCCCACGAATTGGGTCTGTAGACATAGCGGGTGGGCAGGTGGCTGGGCTCTCACCTGCTCGCAGAGAAGCTGGAGGCAGTAGGGATGGCTGAAGTTCTCCCGGGGATAGAACACCTGGAGGAGGACACGGGAGAGCCAAGGTAAAGCTGGGACCCCCGCAGGCTGCCCAGAGGCCAGGCTGAGGCCCCGCCCCCAGGCCCACCTCCTTGCGTAGGAACAGCTTCCAGGGTGCGCTGGCATAGGAGAAGCACACGCTGCCAGACGGGGTCAGTAGCTGGGTGCAGACCCCTTGGTCCTCCATGGGCTCCCTCAAGGCTGCAGGGGATGGGTGAGGAGATCAGGCAAGGGGGTGCAGGGAAGGGGAGACCTTCATTCTTGTCACCTCCAGCTACCTCACTGCGGGCCTCTGAACCTTCCTTTCCGGCTCTAAACTTTCTGGTGTCCCTGACCACGTCACCCTTGGCCACTAGATGTACCCTCTGAGCTGTCAGCATGCATCAAGGGCAACACCCTATGTGTCAGTCCCCCAGTGCCAGACAGTGCCAGCGGGCGCCCAGGGCCTTGCTCGCAGCAGGAACCTGGAAGCCGGGCCTCCATGGCTCCAAAGTCCAGAACCCGAACAGCTGACTTCAGCCGTATGGAGGTGACTTCAGCCACGGGTCCCAGGTGGTGGTTGAGTGAGTAAAGCCTGCTGCAGTGGGCGGGGGGGGGGGGGGGGCGGGGGGAACGCTAGGGGTCCTCACCACGAGGCTCCGCTGAAGAGATGCTGGGGGGTTCAGGCAGAGGCAGTGGGGGTGCCGGTGGAAGAGGGGGTGTCTGGGCTATGGGCAAGTTTGGCCCAAACAGATTCTGAAGAGGCCCCTGCTTTTCCTTGATAGAGCTGGAGGGCCCGAGTCGTGGCAGGGCCTTGGGTTTTGGAGCCACGGCTGGCGGGGGGCCTTTGTCTAGGTTGTGGGACGGTATCTGGGAGAGACAGAGGAAAGCAGGAGGGTGGAGTCTATGGCTGAACCCCGGATGCCTGGGCAGGCAAGCCCAGGTCTGGAAGGGATGGGCGTGGGGGAAGGGGACACAGGCCCCGGGACTCACCGATGGCGCTGACTGGGTGCTGTGGATACCCAGCTTGGCCAGAGCCTCATCCTTGGGATCATTTTTCTTCAGGAAAGTTTTGGGAGGCCTGGTAGGAGAAAGAAAAGGTCACCAGGTCTGGGGGTGTGGGGGGGGGGGGCGTTTCTTGAGGAGCGAGGCAGCCCCAGTCCCTCCCCGGGGCGCACCTGGCTGGCTGCACGGGCACGGGCACAGGGCTCGGACGGCTCTGGTACATCCGGATGATGTTGCGGATCTCCTTGCTGGGCTCTGGGCGCTGCGGAGTGGGGTTCGAGCTGTGTGGCCTGGGCTCCCTGGCCCGGGCCGGCACTGCCTCCTTGGCTGGCTCTGCCTTGGCCTCTTTTGCAGCCTCCTTGGCTGGCTCTGCCTCTGCCTCTTTTGCAGCTTTATCCCCGCTTTGTTTCAAGGGCTTTTTCACAACTGCGGGAGGAGGAGGGGGCGGCTCTGACAACAAGAAGAAAGATGAGTAAACACTATGTACAATTGGGGGGGGAGGCCAGGCCCCTGCCCGGCTGTCCTACCTGCTCTGCTTCCCTCTTCCTCCTCTTCCTCCGTCTCTCCCCCCTGGGGAATCTGGACTTTGGGTGGAGATTTCACCATCTTCACCTTGATCTGTTGTTGCCCTGTCAATGTCCCGGGTGGCAAGGTGTGTCTGTCACCCACGGCCTGGCTGAACCCTGGCCATACCGTTCTGACAGGGGAGCTGAGGAGGACGCCCCGCCATCCCCTGGCCAAGTGCAGGGTGGAGGCACCCTTACCCATCTTCTGGAAGTACTCCCGTTTCTGCTGGAAGCTCTCGGGGTGGCCAGGGCTGTGTTCAGCTTCCTCTGCGAAGTCCTCCTGGCAGAAGGAAGAGGTGAAGTGCGGGGCACCCGTCCCGCCCCCTCCCTAAACCTTCTTGCCCACACCGTCCTGAGAGTCTCATCTCTGCAAGCCTGGTACCCATGGCCCACACTCCAGCCCCCCACGGGCCGCCTGGCCTCAGCTCCTCACCCTCCAGCAGGCACCCATGGGTTCCGGATCGCTCTCTGGCGCCTCTTGAGGAGTGGGGGGCTTCTTGGACTTGGGGGTGGTGGCCGGGGATGGGGCTTGGGAGGTGGCTCTGGAGGCCTGTGCCTGGCGCTGGCGCTGCTGGCTCTGCTGCTCCAGAGACAGGCTCATGGCCTGGGTGGTCATCTGCTGGGCCTAAAGGAGAGGGGTGGCAGGCCTGGTAAAGAGCCCCTGGCCAGCACCGGCCGCTGAGCCTGCCTCCCGCCCCCCCCAGGTGGCCCCCACGGGCCCAGCCGCGTGTACCAGGATCAGCGCCTGCTGGTTGATGAAGTTCTGCTGCTGGACTGCCAGCTGCTGTGTGTCCAGGCTGGGAAGCTGCGGCGGGTGGCGGCGGCACCATCATGGCTGCGGGGGCCACGGGTAAGAACACAGACGGTGAGGACAGTGGCCAGGTTCAGGCTCTAGGCGCCCTGTGCTTTCTGGATGCCTGGCAGGGACCCTGGTACCCCTGGCTCAGGCTTACCTGGGATAGCAGGGACGGGAGCCATCGCTGGCATCATAGGCACAGGTGCGGGCACCATGGCTGGCTGGTACCCGGGCATCTGCATCATCCCTGGGTATACTGGGGGACAGGGCCTCCTGGGTGAGTCCCCATGGGGGCCTGCATACCTCCAGCTAGGCACTGGCCACCAAGGTCTGCCCAGAATACCCATCCCCGGCTGCCTGAGGGCTTCCATGCTACCCCTGCCTGTGCTGGAGGTCCCGGAGAGCACCAGCCCATACTTACCCATGGGGTAGCCCTGCTGCTGCGAGGGGCCCACGGAGCCCCCTCCCTTCATGCGGCTGCTCAGGGCCCAGCCTTGGTCCAGATCCTAAAGGGACAAAGGCAAACCCAGAAGGGGCAGCGGAGGCCTCAGAGGAGTCGGGGGGAGGGTGGGGGGAGGAGAGGGGGAGGGTGGGGGAGGGGGAGGGGGAGGGTGGGGGAGGGGGAGGGGAGGGGGAGGGTGGGGGAGGGGGGAAGGGTGGGGGAGGGGAGGGGGAAGGTGGGGGAGGGGAGGGTGGGGGAGAGGAGGGGGAGGGGAGGAGAGGGGAGGGGGAGGGTGGGGGGAGGGGAGGGGAGGGGGAGGGTGGGAACACTTACACTGAGGCCTGGGGTGAGGACAGGCTCAAAGAGGTGGTCCAGGAAGCCATCCAAGCTCCCAGCGGGCCGGGCCTCGCCTGCAGAGTGGGGACAGGCTGGGGTGTCCTTCCAGAGTGACATGGATGCCACCCCCAAGTCCTCTGCTGAACCCCAATGTGCCTCACCTGTGTGATATCTGCCGGGCAGGATTGGGGCGGGACCTGGAGGAAGTCCTGGGGGCAAAGAGGGGGCCTGGACGCCAGGGGCCGGGGGGATGTCCTCGGCTCTGCAGAAAACAGAGTACCTAGCTGGGTGGTGCCCAGACCAAGTGGAAATGTGGAGGCTGCTGTGGGGGCTGACCCCAAGCCGGAGGTAGAGGCTCAGGTGGAAGGGCGAGGCCTGTAGCAGCACCCACACATTCCAAGTGTTAGCCGGGTGCTACAGGTAGGGGTCACCGGCTGGGAAAGGGGCAGGCTGGGGACAGGGGTGTTGGGCGGCACCTACAAGTCAAAAGAAGTGAAGGGGTAGCTGTGGGGGTCAGCCGGGTCCCCCAAGTCCTCCATCTGGCCTATCAGGTCCAGCACAAAGTCACAGCCAGACAAGTCCTGCCAGGCGTCCTCAGAATGCAGTGACACAGACCAGCCACGCAGGGGCGCCTCCAGGCCTCTAGGTGGGGACAGGGCCATGCAGTAGGGGTGGTCAAGGAGGCCCACGACCGTCCTGCAGGGGCGGGGGGGGGGGGGGGGGGGGGCGAGGCCTGGAGAAAGGAGTCTAGAGGCCTTTCCAGCCCTTGGCCTGTTCCTGAGTCGCAGGGGACCCAGAGCTCAGTGGCTCAGACAACTCTGAACGTCACTTGCCTATTTGAACATCTCTCTTCTAGTCTCCCATAGCTGTACCACTCAGTCCTGACCTAGGGAGCTAGAATCTGGACTCTATTCTTTACTTGAACTTGAACTCAGTCCCTGATGCTTTTGCTCATCGGCTGGCATTCTACTAACGGAGCCATGCTGCTGGACCCTCACACGGTCCCTTGCTTACAATCTCTTTGCTCTCCATCTCGACATGGTTGGACCTTGCCCACTTACCCTAAAACCCTTTCTCATCCTGCCCCTCGGGGAGCAGCCTCTGTCCCCAGCCCTAGGAGGCACTTGGGAGGGGAGAGGGCCAGGGGGACAAGGGCGGGACAGTGGCCATGGCCACGCGACTCCCCATGCCCACACGCCACACCTGCTCTGCAGGATCCACCCCGCAAACTCCTCTCCCGTGGTCCAGGACTCCACCTCCACCGAGAAGCACTCTTCTGCAGGAGAAGGGGAAGGGACCTGGGTCAGGGACAGCAGGATCCATCGGGACAGTAAAGGCAGCTGTCCCGAGGGCGGGGCAGGGGGAGAGCAAGCTCCCAGATGGGCAGCAGGTGCAGGGAGGGCGGGGAGAGGGGCCTGGGTGGCCACAGGGGGAGGTGGCCATCACCATTGAAGGTGAAGACGTCCAGCGCCATGCGGCCCCGCCGCCATCCGGCCTTCCACTCGAGCTGGGTTGGAGGGTGAGTCCGGGCAGCCCCGGGCGCCAGCGGCGTCTGCTCCAGGGCTTCCAGTAGTTTGTGTTGGCACAGCGCTGCCATGCCCTTGGGGGCCTGGTCAGACACAAATCTGTGGGAGAAAGCGCGGGGCCGCTTGCAAAGCGGGGCAGGGTGGTACAGGGACTCCACTCACCAAGTCCCCGCCCACCGGACTCCTTACTTGAGCAGCGGCTTCTGCAGAGTGGGCGTGGGGGGAAAGGCGCTGAGCAGGACGGCCATGAGGGCCCAGCCCCGCTGGCTCTGCTGCTCATCCGGGTTACGCCAGAGTTGGGTCACCAGCTGGCTGAAGAGTTCATCCCGAAGGCCAGGCCGGCGCAGCCCCTGCCGCACCAGGTACGTGCCCATGGTGTGCTCCTGCCAGGGCTGCAGGGATCCATCCCCCAGGAGCCGCAGCATCTGGAGACACAAAAGCCAGACGGGAGCAGGAGGCAGGACTCCTGCCTGTCCTTCTAAGGTCCCCGCTAGGGCCTGCCCTGCCCTCTCCCTGACATGTCACTCACCACCTTGTTGATCTCCAGAGCATGCTGAGGGGTCTCCCTGTCCAGCCGGGTCAGGGGCCTGGTCAGTGGCTGCCCTGGGCTGGGCAGAGATGGCTCCTGCGGGGGAGGAATGTGGTACAGTGTTTGTCTTCTCTGCTGACCTGCAGGAGGACGGTCCCAGGAGAGCCCTATAGATGCCTGCGTCCCAGGACAGGGGCTGGTGCACGAGTGCTTCTTCAAAAGGCTTGTTTGTTCAGGGCTGGGATGGTGGCTTAGTGGTAGAGTGCTTGCCTAGCATGGCATGAAGCCCTAGGTTCGATTCCTCTGTACCACATACACAGAAAAAGCCAAAAGTGACACTGTAGGGGCTGGGAAGGTGGCTCAGTGGTAGTGCGCTTGCCTTGCATGCCTGAGGCCCTGGGTTTGATTCCTCAGCACCACATAAGCAGAAAAATAAAAGCCGGAAGTGGTGCTATGGCTCAAGTGGTAGCGTGCTAGCCTTGAGCTGAAGAGCTGAGGGACAGCGCCCAGGCTCAGAGTTCAGGCCCCTCGACCGGACGCAAAAAAAAAAAAAAAAATGGCACTGTGGCTCAAGTGGTAAAGTGCTAGCCTTGAGCAAAAAGAAGCTCAGGGACAGTGCCCAGGCCCTGAGTTCAAGCCCCAGGACTGGCAAAAAAGAAAAGAAAAAGGCTTTTTCAGATGGGCACTGGTGGCTCATACTTGTAATCCTAGCTACTCAGGAGGCTGAGATCTGAGGCTCTTGGTTCAAAGCCAGCTCTGGGCAGGCAATTGAAGACTCTTATCTCCAATGAACAGGGGGTGGGGGGTGGGGGGTGGGAGGGGGCAGGGAAGCCAGAAGTAGAGCTGTGGCTCAAGAGGTAGAGCTCTAGCCTTGAGTGTAAAAGATAAAGGAGAGCCGGGTGCCTGTGGCTGAGTCTGTAATCCTAGCTACTCAGGAGGCTGAGATCTGAGGATCGTGGTTCAAAGCCAGCCTGGGCAGGAAAAGTCCATGAGACTCTTATCTCCAATAAACCACTCAGAAAACCAGAAGTGGCACTGTGGCTCAAGTGGTAGAGCGCTAGCTAGCCTTGAGCTGAAGAGCTGAGGGACAGCGCCCAGGCCCAGAATTCAAGCCCCATGACCGACAAAAACAAGCAAAAAAGGTAAGGGAGAGTGCCCTAGACCCTGAGTTCAAGTTCTAGTACCAACACACACACACACACACGGCCTGGGCACTGTCCCTGAGCTTCTTTTGCCCAAGGCTAGCACTCTATCACTTGAACCACAGTACCATTTCTATTTTTTTCTATTTATGTGGTACTGAGGAATTGAACCCAGGGCTTTATGCATGCTAGACAAACACTCTACCACTAAGCCACATTCCCAGCCCCCTTAACTGTTCTGTAATTAGAATATTCACAGTCCTACATTCAAAACACTCAGAAAACATGCAAGAGAATAAACATAAAAATAAAAACTACCGTCAGCTAGGAATAAAGGTATGTGCCTAAAATCCTAACACTCAGGAGGCAGAGACAGGAGAATCAAGAATGCAAGGCCAGCCTGGACTACTCAAATAAACAATCTCTTCTCCTTAACTGCCCACTTCCAGGGTGACCAAGGTGGGCACTGGACCTCTCTTCCCTGTCTTACTCTCTGTGCAAAGACTCTCTGTCTATGCTGTGATGTGGGCAGTTTTGAATGTTCCTTTTGTAGTTTATTCTGGCCAGTTTCCCCGTCATTCGATATTACTTAACAACATGACTTCAAAGGCAGAGCGATGCCAAGAATAAATAACAAAGGTGTGCTTCTCACTGTGAGGTGAGATAGTTCAGTTTATTGGGTATTTTCATAGTCGACCAGCTGTCCCCACAGCCCTGAGGGCCACAGGGAGTGAAGAAAGCAGGGAGGCCCTGCTTCTGCCTGGAAGCTATTAAGGCCCGGGAGTGGCCGGGAGCAGGAAGGGGTCAGGCAGGCCCAGCGTCTCACCTGGAAGCTGATGGAGACGAAGCTGGAGAAGGGAAACTGGTCGATGTCGGCTGGGAGAGACAGGCTGGGCCGGGCAGGAACCTCCGGGGGCATGGATTCCTTGATGGTTCCAGCCAGGACATCTTGGTTGCCTGAGAGTGAATGCCAAGGGGCAGCCCGGAGATGCCCTGGCATAGTGCCAGGTCTGGGACCACCTCTACCGCCCCCTGCAGCGATCAGCATCCATCGACGCCAGCGGGGTCCCGGGAGAGGCCACACCCTGACAGAGCCAAGGGATGGGCGGACTCACCTTCTGCCCTCCGCAGCATAGCAGCCAGCTCTGCTGGGATTTCCAAGCGTCCCAGATCCTGGTGGAGAGGGAAGGCACGTCATCCCGGGGTGATAAACACGTCCCCTCCAAAAAACACAAGGAGGCTGGGCCTGGGCCCCAAACAAGCAGAGCTCCCAAGCGTCCTCCAAGGGAAACTGAGGACCTTGGGGAGTCACGGACACCCCAGTCCTTTGCTCAGAGGTGGCACATGGACGCCACGACCCTTGGCAGCACCCACCTCTCTGCCCTCCCCCCGAAGCTGTGCCAGGCTCAGAACCCCTGCACCTTTCATGTCCCCTACCATGTCTGGCACTTTCTCCCAGGTGCCGCCACTGTGCTGGTCACGCCAGTGCCCGAGCTGTGAAGGCATAGGAGGAGATGTCATTTCTCTGTAAGGCGCTACCCCGGGAGCCTCTCCTCCTGTCCCCCCCCCCCCACCGCCCGGGCGTCTGATGCCAGCGAAGGAAAAGCACAGACCCAGAAAGGCCGGCTGCCCGGGAGTGGTGACGGCTGCCCCGGAGTGGCGGTCCCCACCTGCTGCCTGCCTGCCCCAACCCTCACTGGCTCCTCACTGTGGACGTCACTGCCCGTCTGTCCACTAGAGCACCAGGAAGAGACAGGAAGGGAAGAAATGGTCCTAGAGGACAAACTCCAGCCAGGGAGGGGCCGGTGGGGGGGCGGGCAGAGTATGGGCACTGACCTTTGAGCTTCTTTATGGCCTGCAAATTGGAGTATCAGGCAAGGGAGGGAGCAGGAAGGGCCTACAGGGCCTGGAGGGGAGGGGAGGGGAGGGGAGGGACCCCACCTAAGAAGGGGGAGGCAGGCCCCTGGGCATGAGTAAGAAGAAGAAACACAGAAGCCAGGTGCTGGTGGTTCTCACAGATAATCCTAGCTACTCAGAAGGCTGACATCTGTGGATTGCCGTTCAAAGCCAGCCCATGGAAGGAAAATCCATGAGACTCTTCTCTCTAAGCACTAAAAAAGCTGAAAGTGGAGCTGTGGTTCAAGTGGTAGAGCACTATTTTATTTACTTATATTTTTTTTGTCAGCTGTGGGGCATGAACTCTGGGCCTACGTGCTGTCCCTCAGCTCTTCAGCTCAAGGCCAGCGCTCTACCATTTGAGCCACAATGCCACTTTTAGCTTTCTGGTGGTTCATTGGAGATAAGAGTCTCACAGACTTTGCTGCCCACGCTGGATTGCAACCATGATCCTCAGATCTCAGCCTCCTGAGTAGCTAGGATTACAGGCATGAGCCACCAGTGCTTGGCTAGAGCACTAATTTTGAGTAGAGAAAGTTCTGGGAAAGCTAGTTCCCAGGCCCTGAGTTCAAGCCCTAAGACCAGACCAGAATAAGAAAGAAAGGAAAGAAAGAAAGGAAGGAGGGAGGGAAGGAGGGAGGGAAGGGAAGGAAGGAAGACAAAGGAGAGAGAGAAAGAGAAAAAGAGGAGGAGAACAGAGTGGGGAGAGGGAGAGAGAGAAAGTGAGAGGGAAGGTAAAGGAAGGAAGGGAAGGGCAAGAAAGAAAAAGAAGGAATGGACTGAAGGTAAGGAAGGGAGGGAGGGAGGAAGGAAAGAAGGGAGGAAGGAAGGAAGGAAGGAGGGGAGGAAGGAAGGGAGGGAGGGAGGGAGGAAGGAGGGAGGGAGGGAGGGAGGGAGGAAGGAGGGAGGGAGGAAGGAAGGAAGAAAGGAAGGAAGGGAGGAAGGAGGGAGGGAGGGAGGGAGGGAGGAAGGGAGGGAGGAAGGAAGGAAGGAAGGAAGGAAGGAAGGAGGGAGGGAGGGAGGAAGGGAGGAAGGAAAAGGAAGACCGTGGCTGTGGGACCCCAGCCTGCCCTGGCCGGTCAGAGAGACAAGGGAAGAGCACTGTTTTCTGAAGCTCTCATCCTCGTGGGGTGAGCTGGGGGAGTCACTCTCGTATGGATCTCAGTCCACGGGCCGGCTGAGGCTGGTTGGCTTCTACCCCGAGCCTCCCCACTCCAGCCTCCGCCAGCCCCCTCGCCTGCAGCTTCTGCCGTCTGTGGAGCAGGGGCCGGGCCACCAGAAGGATGGTGCTCAGCTGTCCCAGAGCCGCCCGGCGCCGGAGGTAGCGCTTCCTAGAGGAGGGTACGGGGTTGGGGGAGGGGAATGGGGAGCATGACGTCTCCAAACCTCCACCCCCGGCTGCCAACGGGCTCACGCCTGTAATCCTAGCTACTCAGGAAACTGAGACCTGAGGACTGAGGTTTGAAAGCAGCCTGGACCAGAAAAGTCTGTGAAACTCTTATCTCCAATCAACCACTGAAAAGCCAGAGCAGAGCTGGGACTCAAGTGGTAAGAGTGCCCGGCTTGGGCAGAAAAGCTAAGGGACAGCATTAGGGCCTTGGGTTCAAGCGTCAGAACCGGCCCCCATGAAAAAACAAAAAGCAAAACAACTTCTATGTATCTCCTATTTGGCATCAGACTCCTCTAATCCTAGACAGTATGCAAAGCCCCTGAGGCTGGACAGAAACAACAAAGAACAGGACACTATGGAAGAAGAACAGGTGAACCGAGAGGCTGCTCCGCAAAGGGGATTAAGATCTGACTCTGGAGCTAGGTTATAAGCTTCAAGTCATTTTCTGCCTCATTAGTAACTGGGACCGTGGATGAGTAGCGTTCTTCTCTCTCTTGTAAAATGTAAAAAGCAACATCACGCCGAATGTGGCTCTGCCTGCTGTCCTGGCTTTTCGGGAGGTGGAGGATCATGGTTTCATGTTATCTTGGGCAAATAATAAAAATAATAATAGGGGGCTGGGAAGGTGGCTCAGTGGTAGAGCGCTTGCCTTGCATGTATGAGGCTCTTGGTTCGATTCCTCAGCACCACATAAGCAAAAAGAGAAAAGCCGGAAGTGGCGCTGTGGCTCAAGTGGTAGAGTGCTAGCCTTGAGCTGAAGAGCTGAGGGACAGTGCCCAGGCCCAGAGTTCAAGCCCCACGACCGGACCCAAAAAATAAATAAATAAAATAAAATAAAAAATAATAATGTCTGAGAGACCCCTCCCCATCTCAATAGAGAAAAGCTGGATGCAGTGGTGCATGCTGGTCATTTCAGCTATGGCAGGGAGTCTAAAATAGTAGGATCATAGCTGGACACCTGTGGCTCACACCTGTAATCTTAGCTACTCAGAAGGCTAAGAGCTGAGGATCATGGTTCAAAGCCAGGCCGGGCAGGAAAGTCCATGAGACTCTTATCTCCAATAAACCACTTAGAAAACCGAAGTGGCGCTGTGGCTCAAGTGGTAGAGAGCTCACCTTAAGCTGAAGAGGTAAGGGACAATGCCCAGGCTCAGAGTTTAAGCCCCACAACCAAAAAAAAAAAAAAAAAAATTGCCTTAAGCCAGGACAGGAGAAGATGCATGGCCTCATATACCTAATTTCTGCTGAATAGATCTTTCTTGCTCTAAAGTGGAGAGCAGACTAGAAAGGAGCCATCACTACCATCACTACAGTGAAAACCCTCAGTGGCAGGCTCAGGTGGCGCTGGCAGGAATGAGCGTCCTGTGCTCAAGTTCAAGCGCAGGTTGTGTGGGTGATGTGGCAATGCAGTCACGGACTGTCTAGAGCCAAAGTGGGACTTGCCTTGAGAAATCCCCCGATCTCCCCAACCTGGCCCTACTACCTTGAAGAACTGCCCACTCACCCGCCCACTTCAGCCCTGGGCATGAACGCCTGCCCACCTGGCCTGAAGCCCACGCACACGAGCTTGCATCCGGGGCAGGAGGCGGAGGCGCTGGCGGGAGATGCAGACCCGGAGGCCGCGGTGCAGCGTGAGCAAGGCCTGGGCGCGGCGCTGGGCCCAGAGCTGCTCCAGCTGCTGCCAGCCCTGCTCCTGCAGCAGGACCTGTGGGCAGAGGCACTGCAGGCCGGCCAGGCCTGGCGGCGGGGCCCAGCTGCTCCTCGGTCTACTCTGGGGTGCCCAGGACGGCCAGCTGCCCAGCCCCGCTCTGTCTCCCGCCTAAGGGTCGGTCAACCCAGACTTGGTCCATTTGTCCCCAACACACTGCTCCTCTCCAGCACGCCTGCTCCCCTGCTTGCCAGGACCTAGGTGCTCACCTGGGTGACTCCGAGGTGATGGAGAGGCGACTCTGCTCCCAGCGCCTGGGTGAGGATGGCGCCACACCTTTCTCGGTCAGAGCAGTCACCCTGCCCCTCTGTCCCCAGGGCCTGGAACCTGTCCACGGATGCAGAGGTGAGATCACAGCAGCAAGTATTTCCTTTTCTTTTTATTTGTCGGTCGTGGGGCTTGAACCCTGGGCCTGGACGCTGTCCCTCAGCTCTTCAGCTCAAGGCGAGCGCTCTACCACTTGAGCCACAGCGCCGCTTCCAGTTTTCTAGTGGTTTATTGGAGATCAGGGTCTCACGGACTTTCCTGCCTGGTCTGGCTTTGAACCACGATCCTCAGATCTCTGCTTCCTGGGTAGCTAGGATTATCAGCATGAGCCACCGGCTCCCAGCTCCTAGAAGTTTCTGGGCTCCCCGAAGAGAACCACCTTCATCCTCACTGGGATGTGGCGCCCACCCGTCACCGCTCTGCCCGTGTCGCCTGCACATCTCCCCTCAGAAAGGCTCTGATCTCTCACCTCTCTTCCTGTCTCCCTGCTTCTGTCGGTCCTTCCTGACCGCCTCCTGCTTCCCCTCCCCTCGTGAACCGCAGACAGGGCCCACCTCCCCTCAGCCAGGGGCTGCTAGGTAAAGGAGGGGCAGGGACTAACAAAGGGAGGGAGACAAAGAGGAAGAGGAGGGCAGAAAGGCTCCAAGCCCTCCAGGCCCAGGGTCAGAGGAAAGTAGGTTCTCCAGCTGGAGGGAGCCCAGGTTTTCCAGGGCCTACCCTGTCAAGCCCACCAGAGATGCTAGGCCCTTGGCTGCCCTGCCCAGGGGCCTTACCTGACCAGGAAGGCCTGGAAGGGCATGCGCACGGGGAAGTGGGCACTGCGGGTGCCTACAGCCTCCAGGACGCCAGCCTGGCGCAGCTGCTCCGCCACATGGCCCACGTCGAAGAGGCCCGGGAGCTATGGCCAGAGACGGCAGTGAGTATGGATGTCCAGGGGGTTCGTGCTGAGGGGAAGGGGAGAAGGGGAGGAGCATGGGAGGGGGGGGGGAATCCTGGGGTGGGAAGAGAGAGCTCACCTTTCCAGGGTTAGGGTTCAGGCACTGGATGACATAGATGCGGCTCCTGCTTGCATAGAAAAGAAGGCACTGAACACAGACCAGCTCCCCCCCCCCACCACCACAGGCTGCTTCCAACCTCTTGGTGGCCCATGGGGGACACTGTCCTCACCTGCCCAGCCGTGACAGGAGGGCCTCCAGGGACTGCTGGAAGCGAGAGGCCAGAGTAGCTTTCCCTGGCTTTCCCAGCGCCTGGGGCTCTGCATCCTCGAACAGGCTGCCCACGAGCTGCAGGGCGAGATGAGTCTGAGCCTGCTCCCATCCCTGGCCGCCTACAGCTCTGGGGAGCAGGCGGGCCTGGCATGCTTGGCCGTTCAGAGCATAGGGAGAAGAGGCCAGGCTGGGAGGGGGCAGGGTGCGTGGGGGGCCCGCACACCTGCAGCTGGCTCTGGCGAAGCATCTCCACCACAGCGGGGTCCGGGTGGTCTCGATTCCTGTGTAAAAACTTGTGAACCTGCCAGAGAAGATGCGAGGGAGGGCAGAGGGAGAGCCAAGCCAAGCAAGAAGGCTAGGGATAGGCTCAGCTCCACTGCCTGCTGACCCCACGTGGGTCACCTGCCGGACTCTATGCCATTCCACGGATCCCTCCATTTCTGAGCAAATCTCTCCCCCAGCCTCTGCGTCTTCAATACTTCATTGATTGCCCTGAGGTATGTCTCCAGCTAAAAACCTCAGAAAACTTTCAGCAAGGCCCATTTCCCAGCTGGGCACCAGTGGCTCACGCCTGTCATCCTGGCTCAGGAGGCTGAGATCTGAGGATCAAGGTTCGAAGCCAGCCCCAGCAAAAAAGTTCCCACGTGTCTCCTCGTCTCACTCTTCTTTGCTGCCTCCTCCACCCCCACCACCACCTTCCCTCCTCCTCCTCCCTAGAAACAGAGCATGGTACCCCCTCCGGGGAGCCATGATTCTCCCCACTTCAAACCCATCACATGGTATCTCCCTGTATGCCAGCCCCCCACCCCCACCCCTAAATGAGAAGCAGGTGCTCAGTCTCCCTGATAGACATGGAACTCAGAAGGGGAAAGCAAAATTCATTCAGGAAGCACCTGCCAGGCCACGTCAGAGCTACTAAACCTCTTAAACCTCCTCACGCTGTTAGAACACAGATTCCTGTGCCCATTTCACAGAGGAGAAGAGGGAGGCACAGAAAGCCTAGTCCTCTGCTGAGTTCTGGGCTTGTGCTCTGTCCAGACAGTCCCTGGTCTCCCTCCTCCACCCCATCTCAGTCAATCATGCTCAGAACTGGGTGGGGCCTGTGGACCAGGTGGGGACCCAGGGCCAGGCTTTGGAAGGGAGCACATGCTGGATAACTCTGCACAGGAGGGGACACTAAGGTCGCCCTGCCTCATGTCCCTGAGATCAGATACCTGGTAGGTGACAGCCCCGGCATAATGCCGCACCGTGAAGATGGGAAGAGGCAGCTGGGGCTTGGCATAGCTGTGGTGGTCGCTGTGGTGGTAGTGGCACTTCTGGAGGAACGTGTGGTCCGTGGCCTGATGAGGGAAGAGGTGGCTCATGCCATTTCCTGCCTGGACCACTGGAGCCACACCCCAGCCCTTTGTGCTTTAGGTTGTTTTTCAAACAGGTGTTTCTACTCAGGCCAGCCTGAGACACAATCCTACGTAGCCAGGATGATAGGCGCCACCACACCCAGCTTTTATTGGTTGAGATGGGGTCTTGAGAACTTCTTTGCCCAGGTTGGTCTGGTTCAGCCATCTTCTTCATCTGTATCTCCTGAGCAGCTCGGATTACAAGGATACGCTACTGAGCTCAGCTTAATGACTTAATTTTAAACCATCAAGTAAGATTCCAGAAAGTCAAATAGCCTCAGGCTCAGGAGCTTCTTCAGTCAGTGCTAGATTGTGGAGGATGCCTGACAGGAGGGGAAGGAAATAGGGTCCAGGGGTTTTAAAACAAGCATAGCGATCGTTCCTATGAATATAGTCCCACAATTACAGCTTCTGAACAAGTCATGAAAGGTCCCTTTCAAAACAGAATCCAGGTAGGAGGTTATTTTATGGAGCTAATGAATATGTTGCGGTGTAGCAATAAACACAAGGAACCCTTCAGACAGGCCCAACCCACCTGGGGCTCAGCAGAGCTCAGAGGAAGCATGCATGATGGATCTGCTGTGTTGTAACTGCACTTGGATACAAGTGTTGAGATAGAAAGTGGGATGAGGCTGCAGTGAGACGCAATGGAACACGGAGGCCTGATGGGCAGAGGGCCATCAAGAAGCAGCATGGAAGCCAGATGCCCATGGCTCACGCCTGTAATCTTAGCTACTCAGGAGGCTGAGATGGAAGGATCATGGTTCAAAGCCAGCTTGGGCAGGAAAGCCTGTGAGACTTTTATTTTTTTTTGCTGGTTCTGGGGCTTGAACTCTGGGCCTGGGCACTGTCCCTGAGCTCTTCAGCTCAAGGCAAGCACTCTACCACTTGATGGTGCCACTTCTGGCTTTTTCTGTTTATGTGTCACTGAGAAAGCGAACCCAGGGCTTCATACATGCTAAGCAATCACTCTACCACATTCCCAGCCCACTTCTGGCCTTTTCTGAGTCATTTATTGGGGTTTAGGAGTGTGGTGGACTTTTCTGCCTGGGATGGCTTTGAACCACAATGTTCAGATCTCAGCCTCCTGTGTGAGACTCTTACCTCCAATTAACCACCAGGAAACCAGAAGTAGATCTGTGGCTCAAAGTGGTAGTGTACCAGCCTTGAGCACAAATACTCAGGGACAGTGCCCAGGCCCTGAGTTCGAGACCCATGATCAACAACAACAACCACAAAAGAAGTTGCATGGAGCTGGGCACTGGTGGCTCATACCTGTAATCCTAGCTACTCAGGAAGCTGAGATCTAACAATCTCAGTTCAAAGCCAGCCTAGGCAGGAAAGTATCTGAGATTCTTATCTTCAGTTAGCCAGTGAGAAGTGGAGGTGTGGTTCAAGAGGTCAAGCACCAAGCCATGAATGAAAAAGCCAAGCAAGAGCTCAAGGCCCTGAGTTCAGGCCTCAGTACCAGCACACATGCATGCATGCATGCGCGCACACACACACACACACACACACACACACACACACACACCATGGTTCTGAGATTTGCCCTCTATTGGCTGGAGGCCTGTGTGAAGCCTGGGGCCTCCACAAGCTCCCCTCAGGTCCCCACTGCTCTGCCCACCAGACACTATTGTCCCATTTCTGTGGCAAGGACACAAGAACCTCAGCAGCCAGGGCTGTGAGGCAGCTTTGAGGGGGGTCGGGCCTCTTACTCTGTGCTCCTGACTGGAGGGGGCCGTGCCATGCCCCAGGCCTCACCTGGGACAGCCATGTCTGGGCCTCCAGAAGACTCAGGAGGCTGTGGGGTCTGTCCACCAGGAGGTCCAGGCAAGACTCCCTCAGGGGCTGAGCGACAGGCGCCCAGGGCAGCTGCTCCCGCCGGCACTCCTCCTGGGAAACACCAGCAGGGGGCCATTTACTCCCTGTCTGGAAGTGGGGTAGGGGGGGCTCACCAACCCTTCCATTTTATAAACAGGGAAACTGAGCCTCCAAAGGACCGGGCCACTGTCCCGGCTGCTGGGCAGTGCCCGTGTCCCCTCACCTCCTCCTGGGCCTGCAGCTTCTGGCTGGAGAAGAGCTGCAGCCGCTCGCTGGCCAGGTTGCTGCACAGCTGCTCCAAGCCATTCACACGCAGCGCCTGCGCACACGTGCAGTCAGGAGGGCTGAGCACGTGCGCAGTGAGGAAGGTGGGCAGGGCATGGGGCTCAGGGAAGAGTGGTTCCCCAGGGCCCAGTCCAGAGTGCTCGGCCTCCCTTCAGCCACCCACAGCCTGCCTCCTCTCCAGGACCACTGTGAGCCTCTGGGGCTCGGTCCCTGAGGGCCTGCAGGGGCCTCTTCCTACTTGCTAATTTGCTAGTGGCTGCTACCTCCAAGAAGCCTTCGGGCCTTCCCCTAATTGGCTTCAGCACTCCACAGAGAACCCCCCCTTCAAGCAGCTTTGTGCACCCCCAAACAAGAGTGCACCTACATGCACACTCCCTCTAGGGAAGAGGATGGTCACCAGGGACATGCTGGGGAGAGCAAGACCAATAGGATGAAGAGGGACTAAGGGGAGGGGGCATCTCCCCTCCCTCCAGCCCCTCCTTGCTGTTTCAAGGAAGTGAATCTTCTGGAAAAGGGTGTAGAGTCATAACCCATGAAGATTTGGGTGACTCCTGCCCTCCCCTCTTGCTGTGTGGGAAGCTAGGCTGTGGGCAGACCCGTCCCAGGGCTTCCATAACTCCCTGCAATACCAAGCAGCATAGAAGTCTCCATAGACAATGTCAGGACAGAAGGGAACAAGGCCGACGGTCCCTAAGGAGCATGTAGCTCTCTTGGGGCCCATCCCTTGTGATAGGTCCTGTAACAATTCCTACTTTGGCCGGGCACCAGTGGCTTACATCTGTAATCCTAGCTACTCAGGAGGCTGAGATCTGAGGATAGAGGCTCAAAACTAGCCTGAGCAGGAAAGTCCCTGAGACTCTTTTCCAATTAACAACCAGAAAACTGGAAGTGGTGCTGTGGCTCAGGTGGTAGAGCACTAGTCTTGAGCTGAAGAGCTGAGGGACAGCGCCCAGGCCCAGAGTTCAAGCCCCACAACTCACAAAAATCAAAAACCAAAAACCAAACAAGAATTCCTACTTCACAAATGCTAGCTTCAGAGAGGTTAGCTTACTTGTGGGAAATCACACAGCTAGGGGTGGCAGAACTCAAATCTAGCAGCTTTGGTACTCCTAGAGTGCTTGCTTTCCCACAGGAAAGTGCTGGGGCTTAACATGGACTCTGACCCCTTCCAAAGAGAAGCCAGGAGGGCTCAGGAGAACCCCTCAAAACAGGCCGCTGCTGGGCGCTGGTGACTCACACCTCTAATCCTAGCTACTCAGGAGGCTGAGATCTGAGGATCATAGTTCAAACCCAGCCCAGGCAGGAAAGTCCCTGAGACTCTTATATCCAATTAACCACCAGAAAACCGGAAGTGGAGCTGTAGCTCAAAGGGGTAGTGGTAGAGTGCTAGACTTGAGTTAAAAAAGAAACAAAACCTCAGGGGCAGTGCCCAGGCCCTGAGTTCAAGGCCCAGGAATGACAAAAACAAAACAAAACAAAATCAACCAACCAACCAAAAAAACCCAACTGTGCAGCTGAGCTCAGTGAGGAGAAAGCTCCAAGGTTCCCTGACAGCCTTCATCAGACTCCGTTCAAGTCCCCAGAGGTAGGCCTGGTCCCTCCCCTCACCATCCCTGCTTCCCTCACAGCCTCACCCCAGCATCCACCCACAGGGAGCCAGCAGAGGCCCAGAGCCAGGCAGCCAGGTGGCTCCAGGGGAACAGCAATCCCCCCCAGACATTCATCATCAAGAAGAGATGGGCACTGCCTGTCCTGGGCCCCAACCCCGGGGGTGACCTCAAAGCCATAGGCGTCCACGACAGTAATGCTGCCCACGCTGCCTCCCTCCGCGGGTGGAGCCAGCCGTGTGTTGATCCTCCTCAGGAGCCAGTTGAAGAGCCGCAGGTACAGGGCTTTGGCCAGGGCGTTCCTGCGGATGCCACAGTGAGCCACGTGGAACTCAGCACCAGGCCTGCCTCGGGTGGCACTCCTGACCCCAGGGCCACCTGGCGTCAATGGCGCTTTCCACAGGCAGAGATCTGGAGACCCGGCCGTAGGGTGTTTCCTGCAGGCCGGAGGGGTGTCTGAGGAGCCTCAGGCCTGTGATATGGCTCTGGCAGGTCCCCCTTTCTCCAGCACCCCGGGGCTCACCATGACCCTCGTGGTCACAGCTCCCGCCAGTTGCTCCGGTGGCACCTGCAGCAACCGGGCTGCCGTGTGGATCTCGGCCCAGCTGGACACAGTGGCCACTTCCTGGAACTCCCGCTGGACAGAGAGGGTCAGGGAGACTCTGCTTGTGGACGGTTTCCCTGCCAGGGCAGAGGCGGGGCTGTGCTTCGGGCAGCTGCCCTGTCAGTGGAATCGATGAGCACGGGGGGGGGGGGGGGGGGGAACCGGGGCTGGGGGGAGCCGGGCTGGGGGCTGGGGGGGGGAGATCGGGGCTGGGGGGAGCCGGGCTGGGGGGGGGAGATCGGGGCTGGGGTGAGCCGGGCTGGGGGGGGGATCGGGGCTGGGGGGAGCCGGGCTGGGGGGGGGAGATCGGGGCTGGGGGGAGCCGGGCTTGGGGGGGGGGAGATCGGGGCTGGGGTGAGCCGGGCTGGGGGGGGGGATCGGGGCTGGGGGGAGCCGGGCTGGGGGGGGAGGATCGGGGCTGGGGGGAGCCGGGCTGGGGGGGGGGGGAGATCGGGGCTGGGGTGAGCCGGGCTGGGGGGGGGAGATCGGGGCTGGGGGGAGCCGGGGGGGGAGATCAGGGCTGGGGTGAGCCGGGCTGGGGGGGGGAGATCGGGGCTGGGGGGAGCCGGGCTCCAGGTATGAGTGTAAGTCCTGACTGTTCTCCATTGCTAGATGGACAGCTCTAGAAAGTTCTTTCCCTGAACTCCACTGCCTTGCTGCTAAGGGGGAACTGATGTCTCTTCTATCATGGGGCTGTCATGAAAACTAAGTTAAAAAAACAAACAAACATGTATCAAGCAATTTGCTGAGCGCTGGGCACGTAATAACTGCCAGTCAGTGCCGGTGTTCTGAGGGGTGGCGCTGGGTACACAAGGCATTGGGAGGAATAGAGAGGCACCAGGGCTGTTTTCTCATTTCTGTAATGGCAATCTGCCTGCTTTTAGGACAGCTCAAGGCTTTGGAGTTTCTTACTGCTCTGACAGTTCAAACCGCCCTCGCCCATCTGGCGTGCCCACAGGGGAAGCCCACCTCTGAGGACGAGAAGCAGATGTTGCCCAGATGTAGGATGATGGCCAGCACAGTCCACACCGCGGTGAGCTCCTCGGGGCGCAAGCCCAGGGCCTGCAGAGCCTTTGCCAGCTCGGCGAAGTCCAGGGCTTCCTCTTTGCCCTGGAGCCTACAGGCCCGGCCCTGCAGAGCGTGGCAAACAGTCAGGATTTGGCAGTCATGCTGTCCCCCTCAGAGCCCTGACCCACAGCCATCCCCACCCGCCACCCCCAGAGCCTCACCCTCACCTGGTTAAGGTAGTGGTAGGTCTCAGGTCCCTGCAGGGAGAGCTGCTCCCGCTCCATGGGGCCCAACCCCCCCAGCAGCTCATAAAACACATGGAAGCTCCTCTCAGCTTGGGCCTGAGGGCAAAAGATTGGCTCAGGGACAGAAGTGCATAGGGACCACATTCCTGTCCCACCCCCCTCTTCCCACTCCAGGGCAAGGGATGGTATGATCAAGTGGATGGCTCTTAGCCAGGCGCCCGTAGCTCACACCTGTCATCCTAGCTACTCAGGAGGCTGAGATCTGAGGATCCCAGTTCAAAGCCAGCCTGGGCAGAAAAGTCCATGAGACTCTTATCTCCCATAAACCACCCCCAAAACTGGAAATGGTAGAGTGCTAGCCTTGAGCTGAAGAGCTCAGGGACAGCGCCCAGGCCCAGAGCTCAAGCCCCATGACCAACAACAAAAAAAGAGGACAGCTCTTACTTGAAACACCACTCTGGAGGTCTCCAGCAGATAATGTGACACAGAGGCTCCCACGATGACCTCCCTGTGGGCACGTTCGATGGGGACAGTGCGCCCAGGGTGTATGCCCCAGGGACACCTCTCAGCATGGGCTCGTCAGTTCCCAAGAAGGGTAACCCATCACAGTGCCACCATGTCCCCGCCCCTACTCACTGCTGCAGGCAGACGCATAAGACCTGGCCGAAGCGGCTGGCGTTGGCATTCAGGATGGTCTTGGCATGGGCAAAGCTGCTGAGCACTGGCAGCACATCGTCCAGCTGTGTGTGGTATGGGGAGGGAGGGCTGGCAAGCATTCCTGGGGTAGCAGCGGTCCTCACCACCCAGGTGGCTGTGCCAGGCCCAGGTTGGGGGGAGGTCAGTTTCATCAGAAGAACCCTGTCCTCAGTCTTGCAGTAGGCAATGCCTAGTATTAGATCCAGGAGATACCAGAGGCCCCAAAGAGAAGAAGAGCCCCTCTTGGATCCCTGGGAAATGGCCTCCTCTCCCCGGGAAGGGGAGAGCTTCCAGTGTGATGTTTTACCTGGCACCCTCTGTCCCCTGCCTGCTTCTGATCCAGGCTGCTTAGGAACTGCACCATCTTCTTGGCAGCTTCAGTTTTCCCTGAGCCACTGTGCCCACTGCAGAGAGGAGGAGCCAGGGATGACAGAGGTGGCGGAGAGGGGGGAATGGAGGGTCAGCCGGGCATGATGGAGGCCTGCTGAGCCCAGGCAGAGAGGAGTGCCAGAGGAGCTCCACAGCGGCTGCCAGAAGTGCCCAGGACTGGCAGCCTCCAATGCAGGCCTCCACCCTATTGGCCCTAAGGGTAGCCCAGAGTTTCAGACAAGCAGGGCAGCCAGGACTTACGCCAGGAGGATACAGGGGTCCTGCCCGGCGCTCTGAGATAGGCCACAGGCCGCTGCCATGATGGCATAGATGTGTCTGAGGAGGAGAGAGGGAGGATGAGATGGTTGCCACAGATGGGCATCTGGGGGCCCTGCTAGAGTTGGCAGATGGAGCCCCAGGACCTGGGCCATCCGGCCATGGGACATGCTAGGGCCTGGCTGCCTGGGATCAAGCACAGGGCTGAAGGGTCAGCGTCACATACGGGGAGGAGCTGGGGGTCTTCCTGGGATGGTAGCTGGTCAAGACTTCCGGTGAGAAGACAGGCAGAGGCTGGTGGGGATTCAGAGCAAGCAGGAGGGGTCCCCCGAAAGTCTAGGGAAGGAAACACAAGCTCTCAAGGGGACAAAGCAAGGGAATGAAAATGGGGATCCCAGCACCTTGGCACCTCCATTCCTGCAGGCATTCAGAAAGAGCTAGTTCACCACCCAATCCATGGACAAAGAGGAAGAAATCGGGGGGGGGGGGGGGGGGGGGGGCGCGAGGGGGGGAAGCTGGGAGCCTTTATCCCCAGGGGAAAGGGAATCCAGACCACCATCCCTCTTCCCTGACAAGCCTCCATACGTAGATGCGGCCCAGGTGAAATCTCCTCTTGAGGCACAACAGCACGGAGCTGTCACTCACCAGCCTGTGGGGACAGCAAGACAGGGAGTGGAGGAGTCTGGGGGGGAGGAGGGGAGGACCCCGGTAAACTCTATCACCTGGGACAAAAAGCATAGAACTTCTCAGAGCCTTAAAATAGGGCTGGGCTCTGGCATGAGGGTGCATACCTGAGATTCCCAGACCTCAGGAGGCTCACAAGTTTGAGGCCAGCCTGCTTTATATATTGAGACTACCTCAAAACCAACCACAGGGACCAGGTGTGGTACCCAAGCTACCTGGGAGGTCTAAATAGGAGGATCTCGGTTCACCACCGGCTAAGAACAAAACCTGGAGACCTCATCTAACATACATCAAAGCAAAAAGGGCTGGGATGGGGCTTGAGGGAGGGCCTACATTCAACCCTCAGTTCCTGGTAGGGGCATCTAACCTTCACCCCTTTCCTGCCCCCTTCTGGGGGACACGATCTCCTCTACAGAGGCAAGAAGGGTCCACTGGGGGGTGGGGGGTCCGAGGAAGCACGAGCCCGGCTTTGGACGGCGCGGGCTCACCGCAGGCGTGCCACGTCCTCCGTGTCCTCCAGGCCCTCGCTGAGGGTCCGGTCCTGGGCACCGGGGAACGGCGGTGTCCGCAGGCCCGGCCCGAGGCTCAGCTCCAGGCGTCTCTCGAGGGCGGCCTCGGCCTCATCCTCGGGCTCCCACTGCTCCCGCAGGGCCGGGCCCGGGCTCCGCTCGCGGGGCACGCGGGTCTCCAGGGTGAGCCGAGGCAGCAGCGCGGCGGGGCCGAGCCCGGGCTCCTCCTGGGGGCCGCAGCCCTGCGCCCAGTGCGCCGGGGTCTCGGCTCCCGAGGTCACCGGCTCCTCCTCTGCGCTGCCCGAGCCGATCTCACGCCGCGGAGTCCCGTCGAGGGGAGTGGAGGCGGGGGCCGAGGCATCGCCGAGCCCCCGCACCCCTTCCCCGCCAGCCCCCCGCCCCTCCCCGGCCTCTGCGGCTCCGGCCCCAGACCAGGCGCGGCTGGGAGTCGCCGCGGACGCCCTGCCCGCCGCCCGGTGGATTCTGGGGAACACCACCGCGAACTTGGGATCCGGAGTTGGGTCCTCGTCGTCCGAAGGACGGTGATCGGACACTGGGCTCCTCGGGGCCTGCGGAGGACTCGAGCCGCCGCCAGGGGGAGCCCGCAGGAGGCCCCGGAGCCGGGCTAACCCAGCCAGGCGCAAAGCTAGACGGCGGCGCGGCGGCGCCGGCCCCTCGCCCCGCCCCTCGCCTGCCCTCCCGAGGCCCCGCCCCTCGCCTTCCCGCCCGAAGTCACACCCCTCGCCTTCCCGCAGGAGGCCACGCCCCTCTTCCGCCCGCGGTCCCGCCCCCTGCCCCTGACCGGCAGGTGACTGGATCCGTCCCCGAAGCCACCGCAGCAGGCCTAGGGCGCGCGCCACCCGCAGGATCCACGCCTTGAAGCCGCCGCGCCGCTGATCGGCGACCTGGGCAGCGCGGCCTGGCGGGGGCCTGGTGCGGAACTTGTGGAGCACCACGAGGGCGGCGAGCGGCGCGGGGTCCCCCGGCGCTGGGTCCCCTGCACCGTCTCCCTCTCCCTCTCGGGCTCCTTCCTGCACCTTCGCCGCCACCTGGCCCACCTCGGCTGTTTGAGGCTCGGCGCCACGCGGCTCGGCCTCGGCCCGCGCGTCGCCATCACTGACGTCCCCGTCCGGCGCGGCGTCCCACGGGTCCCGCGAGCTGCTGCTCCCGAGCGGGCTGGAGGTCGGGGCTTTCCCACCCAGCTCGGTCTCTCGGGCTTCGGGGACCCGGCCTGCCTTGCCCCGCGCCCTCGGGGGGCGCCGTGCGGGCCCGGCGCGCTCTGGATTCGAGCCCGTGTCTGTGCCCGATCCCCCACTCGCCGCCCGGGGCCCGGTCCCCGACGAGCCTTCCCCGCTCCGGGGAGCTTGGGGCGCCCCCTCGGCCCCCTCCGATCCCGTGGCCGTTGGCTCCCCCTGGGGCTGCGGCGGGGCTCCGCCGCTCTGGCTGCCGCTCTCTTGGGGTTCGCGGGCTTCGCTGTCCGGGCAGGAGCTGCCTCCATCCCTGCCCGACGTGTCCCCATCGAGGCTCCGAGGCTTCCCCCGGCTGCTCGGCGCCGAAGGTCCCCGCCGCCGTTTCCCTCTCCTCCTGCGATGGCCGCGCTTGCCGGTCCTCGCCGCTCCAGGGAGGCCCTCCTTCTCTTCCTCCTCCTCGTCTTCCTCCTCCTCCGGGCAGTCCCCGGGGCTGTCCCCCCACTCGCAGCCGTCCACCGGCCCCCGGCCCCGACGCCGCGTGCTGCCTCGCCTCTCCCGGGCCTCTGTCTCTGGGCTTCTGCCCCCGCTGCCCCCGGCGGCAGAGGGTTTCCTACGGTCACCAGCGGCCCGCTTGTCCCCCGCGGTGTCTCGGCAGGCTTGGCCACGTCCAGGCCGTCCGTCCGCGCTGGCCGATCCGGACTCCTGCTCCCCCGAGGCTGGCTTCCTGGGGCGCGCCCGGTGCTGGGGGGCTTTGCCCTTGCTGCCGCCCATGACTGTCCCAGAAAAACCGTCCCGATCCTCTCCCTGCAGCCTGGCCTAGGCGCCCCTGTGCCTCTGCCCTTGGTGGGGCTCTGGGGTTCTGTCCGCCCCCACTGGAGCCTCCCCCCTAGGCACCAGCATTAATATTGCAGGAGGCAGCAGGTCCTGACCCCCCCCTAGACCGACAATGGAGCCCGGAAAGAGGAGACGCTGCAGCTGCAGACAAAGGCCGTGGGCAGGGCAACCTGCTGGCCCTGGGGGCCGGCCAGCCCAGCCTGGCACCCGGCCAGCCGAGGGACCCGGCTGTGTCCTGCCTCACAGCTTGCCCCACTTGGGAGCACAGTGAACCTGTCGGGACCCCTCCTCCACCCAGGAGCTCCAAGAGGCAGTACTGGAGGCACTTAGTTACACAGGCAGTAGTACCCCTTGAGTTTGGGTCTTTTCCATTTTGAGAACTAATTTACCAGAAAGAGCATAAAACAGGAATCTAAGCCAGGTGCCGGTGGCTCATGCCTGTAACACTAGCTACTCAGGAACCTGAGATCTGAGGATGGCGGTTCAAAGCCAGCCTGGGCAAGAAAGTCCATGAGACTGTGGTTTTTGTTTTTTTTGTTTTTTTTGGTCAGTCGAGGGACCTGAACTCTGGGCCTGGGCGCTGTCCCTCAGCTCTTCAGCTCAAGGCTAGCGCTGTACCAAGTGAGCCACAGCGCCACTTCCAGCTTTTTCTGCTTATGTGGTACTGAGCATTGAACCCAGGGCCTCATGCATGCGAGGCAAGCGCTCTACCACTGAGTCACCTTCTGGGCCGCCCCCTCCCCCATGAGACTCTTATCTCCAATAAACCACCAGAAAACCAGAAGTGATGCTGTGGCTCAAGTGGTAGAGCGACCTTGAGCTGAAGAGCTGAGGGACAGCACCCAGGCTCAGAATTCAAGCCCAACAACTGACAAAATAAAAAAAAGCCAGGGCTGGAAAGGTGGCTCAGTGGTAGAACACTTGCCTTGCATGCCTGAGGCCCTGGGTTCGATTCCTCAGCACCACATAAGCAAAAAGAAAAAAAAGCTGGAAGTGGTGCTGTGGCTCAAGTGGTAGAGCACTAGCCTTGAGCTGAAGAGCTGAGGGACAGCGCCCAGGCCCAGAATTCAGGCCCCACGACCCGACCCCCCCCCCCAAAAAAGCCACATATATATACCTTGCAAATAAGACCCTCATTCAATGATTGAATCTAGGGTCTTATATATACTATACAGTCCTCTGTAAATTTTTTCCCCCAGTTGTGGAGCTTGAACTCAGGGCCTAGATGCTGTCTCTGAACTCTTTTGCTCAAAGCTAGAGCTCTACCACTTGAGCTATAGCACCAGTTCCAATTTTTTCTGCTTATGTGGTGGTGCGGGATTGAACCCAGGGCCTCATGCATGCAAGGCAAGTGCTCTACCACTGAGCCACCTTCCCAGCTCCTCCTGCTTTTTGCTGATTGAGAGGAGTCAGATTTGTCTCCCAGGCTGGCTTCAAATGAGGATTCATAGATCTCAGCCTCCTGATTAGCTAGGATTATAGGTGTAAATCATAGGTACCCAGCTAAATGTTTGTTTTTGAACAGCTAATGAAAACTACAGTTCAAAATTCATCAGGTAACTTTCTCACTTCTGACTGACCTAAGGGTCTCTGACCTTGGGTCTCCTCCCAAGATTATTCATTTCTGTATTTTCTTCAGAGTTATCCATCTAGAGAAAAATTAATCTGATTTTTACCTTTTAACACAAGTAGAAGCTAAGCTCACCTAATTCACAGATTGTCATACTTTCGTTGGCAGTACTAGATTCGATCTGAAGACCTTATGCTTGCTAGGCAGGCACTCTACCACTTGAGTCACTCTGCAGCTTTTTTTGTGTGTTGGTTGATGCCAGGCGGGGCTGGACTGTGATCCTCTTATTTATGCTTCCTCCATAGCTGGGATGAAGACTCACATACCACCACACCCAGCCACTGACTGAGATGGAATCTCATAGCTGGGCACCAGTGGGCACCTTGAGCTGAAGAGCTGAGGGACAGTGCCCAGGCCCAGAGCTCAAGCCCCACAACTGGGGGGGGAGGGGGGGTTGAGATGGAGACTCATGAACTACCTCCCCCCACAGGTTGGCCTCAGAATTGCAATTCCCTGATCTCTACCTCCCTCCCAAGTAGCAAGGATTACACTGGGCCCAGTTTGCTCTGGTTATTTTTGAGATAAAATGTCAGTTTTTGCCTAAACAGTCTGAATGGTAATCCAAAGACCCAGCAGGAGGATGGGTGTGAGCACTGACTTCAGTCACAGAGCTCCAGATCCTTGTTTCTCCATTTCTTTGGATGCTCAAGATCCTCAGATCTAAGTCACACAGGACAAATCCCAATGACTGCTGTACATCTCCATGGCCCCGGAGCCAGCAGAAGCCCCTCCTCCTCACTAGCTTTCGCCTACCTGCAATATATTTTTGTCAACCCCACCTCTCAATGCCTCTATTTTGCCACCACCACCACCATCATCACCGCTCCTGTGGCCTACTGCAAAGACACCCCCAACTTCTCCTCCTGTGCCAACCCAGCTTCTTCCAACCAACATACTAGCTGCTAGAGAGGCACCAAGCCCTTCCATCCTGCATACCCACTAATGAAAGTTGCTCCCCTCCCACTCACAATATAAACTTGTCTTCCTAGAACTGAAATAAGACAACTACCGACACCAGTCAATACTCCAAAGTACAGGGTATGTAGAACACTCATGCTTGTGGGCATGGAAGTAAACCTATGTTTATAAAGAATCTGTGATATTTGCAATTGTGTTCTTTTTATTTTTTAGATTTTTAAATTGTAATGATACTGTACAGAGGGGTTACAGTTACACGAGTACCTAAGGTAATGAGTACATTTCCTATCACACATTGTTACACCCTCCTTTGTTTTTCCCCTATTATCCCTTCCCTCCCCACCTCTCCAACTCCTCCCTCTGCCACCCCCCCCCCCAACTTGTAAAGTTAGTATCTTGTGGGGCTGGGAAGGTGGCTCAGTGGTAGAGCGCTTGCCTTGCATGCCTGAGGCCTTGGGTTTGATTCCTCAGTACCACATAAGTAAAAAGAAAAAAGCCAGAAGTGGCGCTGTGGCTCAAGTGGTAGAGTGCTAGCCTTGAGCTGAATTGCTGAGGGACAGCACCCAGGCCTAGAGTTCAGGCCCCAGGACCTAGGCCTAGAGTTCAGGCCCCAGGACCAGACCCCCCCAAAAAAACATAGTGTCTTGTATGTCTCATTGTTACAATGGGTCAAGCTGTATCCTTGTTTCAGCATTTTGTTACTTCCCACTTGCTTCTTGTGCAGTCTGATCAGATCATTGCTGTACCCACAAAACTCTGAGCCATGGCAGTATTGGCTCTACCATTGTCTTCTTTTGTTTATCTATTAATTTGTAGTTTATTTATGGCAGGGAAGTATTAAGTATTGAAACCAGGGCCTTGTGAGCTCTGCCACTGCGCCCCAATGACTTCTGATTGTGTTATCACTGTGGTTCAGTCTGGCCTCTTGGAAGACTTAATGTCACTTTTGCATTTATGTTAGTAGCTAACTGGATAAATAAGCTGTATTTCCCCTCAGATCTGCAGTCTCACACACATCGCCATGGGCTGGGTGGTCCAGTGCTCTTGCTAGTATGGGAGTCAGACTCAAGGTGGTTCATAGTTGCTGTTTATTTCTGGAGACAGCTTGTCATGTTCGGACTTAAACATGGTTTGCTCTGCTCCAAACACTCAGAAAGTTGGTTCTCTGATCACTGTCTGGGCCAGGAGGAATCAGGGTAAGAAGAGGTCTGATGAAGGCTTCTCATTTATATAAATGACTCCTAGACAACTAAAACATCCGTCATTGAACCAGCTCAGTGAAGAGGTAATAAGGTGTTTATTAAAAACTCTGTTTTACACAGAGGCAGTTAAAATTTATAATTTAAAACCCAGCCCACTACAAAAAAAGGGGAGGGGGGAACAAAGGACTAAAAACTGTGCAACATTGATCAAAGACTGAGACAGAAGGCCGGGGAGGGGCAGCCCGCGCTGGGGGCTGCTCCTCTCAGGCCAGGAGTAGCAGCAGGGTGGAGAGCAGGGGCGCTTGGAGCCCCTGGCCCAGCCCAGTGCACACGAGCCTTTCCAGCCGGGGCAGCCCTGCAGGAAGGCCTTCAGTAGTGTGTTGTCAGCTTGCAGCCCGGACGCCTGTCCTGTTCATTCTGCTGTTGAAAAACACGGAGGGCAGCAGCTCAGGACTATCCTGAGCAAAACAGGGTACCTCACCCGGAGCCCACACACCCAGGACAGAGGTCAGGAGTAGGATGGCCCCAGAGATCCAAAGGAGCCTGGAGAGGAGCAGACCCTCCCCAGCAGCGCCCAGAGTCCTACCTTCCCCATTGCTGAGATGGTACCCTACGGCCACTCGATGAGGATGCCAATTGCCACAGCTCCTGCAGGGGCAAAGACGGCGAGTCACCTACCATGGGGGCCTTCCTTCTCAGCGCCCCGACACCCCTTACGGCACTGTGGTGACTTACCCTCGGCCCCCCTCGAGCGTGCTCTGGATTTCCTTTAGGACTCCTGCAGGACAAGATGACGGGTAAGACAAGCAAGATCGGGTCCCTCTCTCTTTGACTGCTGGGGTTACTGGACAGGCCTGACCCTAAATATGCTTCCCCTCTCTCCCACCCTCCTCCCCTCTCCCGCCCTGACTCACTCTCGTCATTGAGCAGCGCGTGCTCCATCACTGGGCCAGCCTTCTTCTCTGAAAAGCAGAGGTGAGGCAGGTCTCCCCTGGACCCTTTGCCCAGCTTTCTCTGGACCAATGTGGTTCCCTCACTTGGAGGTGGGGGGGGGGAATGTCATTTCTCATCCCAGCCCACACTCTGTCTGCTCACCTGGGGTCCTTTACCCCGCCCCCCCCAGGTGGCCCAGGCCTGGCCCCAGGGAGCAGTTCCAAGAGGCTGTCTTACCCTCTCCATCACTCTGG